ATATAAAGTGGTATCATCGACATACAAGAATATAAAGTGGTATCATCAACATACAAGAATATAAACTGGTATCCTCGATATACAAGAATATAAACTGGTATCATCGACATACAAGTTGATTGTCTTTATCAGTGTCCCTTCAAACCCTCCATGAATCTGTTATTGCGACTGCAAGCTGGACGTTTTTTCAGAACTTCAGTGACCCTTTTGGGCCGTCCATGGTCCAAACGGGTGTTTGAAGTTCCGACCCCTTTTTTAAAGAACAGCTACTGGTACTCATTTTAGGCTTTTGTCTCTGAAAATAAACAAAAAATAACTTTCCAAGCACAAGAAAACAAATAATAGACCCCCAAAAAATTGAATAAATTAAATTATTTAAATAAATAAGTAAAAGGTTAATGTTTATGAGGCTCCTAATGTTCTGGATCTACAATAATTTATAAACTTTTAGCCTAAAATTTTAAAAAGTATATCACCATCAAATTGAAAGGTCTACATTTGCATCAACCTCTTAAGTTTGTGTCAAAATTATATCGTTCTTTAATTGCAGTCGTGGGCCGCACAAAATCACTCCAAAATGGCCCTTAGGCCACACTTTGGACACCCCTAGGTTGTAGTTTAGTTACATGCCTACAATTCCCAACATTCACGCACTCACCCATTATTGAACACAAGATGACGAGACATTATTGGCTGAGAGCTGGGTCACATGATAAGAGTAGGGCTTCCCATTCGTCGATGGTCGTGACGACTCCAGGAGGCGTGACCGAGCTCTGAAGAAGATGGGTTTTCTGTTTACGTTCGGGGCCATCGTTCGTGACCTCATGGTGGAGTTACAATGGCCCAGGGCTGGTGATCTTGTACTTTACATGTAAAATAAACCTTCTGAAATTGGAAGACAAATGCTCCTCCTCTCCCTGCTTCAGATCAGAACACATTCTTACAGATAAAAGCTCATATCTCAGTTTGTCATCACCCGAAGGCAATTTTTAAAACTACAAAATCATAAAGAACAGTGCAAGATTGTTTATTTTGCTCAGTAGTTGCAGTAATTTGGCAGGAGGAAGACGACGGGATGTGAATTAGAAGACGAGGGGGGAAGACGGGGCCCCAGAACGGTTCTTTTTGTTGCTTTTAGCCACCGTGGCCCCCATGGTTCATGGCGGCTGTGGGGCAGAGCAGCCTATTCATCCTGTGCATCAAGGCAGAACGCAGCACAGGAAGACGGGAAGGAAGCGAGGCTTTTCTTCGTGGAGGCATTGTCTGTCTGACGGCCCGGCTTACAGCAATCAACCGGCACCATGAGAGACGGAAAGGGGGGGCGTCAAAACAAAAAGCACTAAACAACGTTCTGTTTCAGACAAAAATAAGTCTAAACATACCAAATTAAATGTTTAAAGTACTCAAATAATGACTACTTCTGAATAAGGCATTACTTTTCTTTTTCAGCTTTCACAAATAAAACCGTACAGTTCCGTGAAAACATCCCCATATTACGGTGGTCTTGTTTAATAATTTTAGTTAAATAACCTGAAGTCTATGTATGTGAATTGTAATTTATTATCATTTTAGTTTATAAATGTTAGTTGTTCATAAATTTCAGTAAAATGTGTTTTCTGAAGCGTTTCACGCAATTCTCTGTTAACCGGAAAAGTACCGGAGTGAAGGTAAGAGCCCAAACTGAAGTAAGCGTTTTGACCCAGCTCTAAACAGGAACTGTGAATTAATTCTGCTGAAAAATTTTTTTTTTTAGGGAGATTCAAAAACCGGTGTTTTTCAGATACGAGAGTAAAACAAAACTGATCTGTCACGAGACTTTGCTGAACAGATTTAATCTGCTCAAAGTCGTTTCCATTTCCCCTTACACGTATTTAACCCCCTTAAAAAACACGAAGGCTAAAAGCACCTCAAGCAGGTGCATAAAGTTTATTTCATAAGGCAAAACTTTAAATAAAAAAGTGTATTCCCTTTTTTAATGTAATCCTTTATAGTTCCCACATTCAAATACTTTTTTTCCCCTTTTATTTTTATTAACCGTTATTTAATCCGGTAAATCCCACTGAGATCATAGAAGTCTTTTGCAAAGGAGGCCTGGCCCTGAAATTAGCCTAACATGCACGTATTTGGTCTGCGGGAGAAAACCGGAGAACCTGGAGAAAATTGCACGCAAACACGGAGAGAACATGCAAACTCCACCCAGAAAGACCCTCAGTTCAAACTAGGGATTGAACCAAAGACCTCCTTCAGCCGTCAAGCAGAAAGAAAAAACATTAACACGTGGCGTAAAATTTCTATTATAGTTTCACTGCGCTTAGATTTTTGTAATACGCGCCAATATTCCGTTAAAAATTCCACAGCTTTGTTTTGGTCATTCCAATTTTCTACCGCCAGTTGGTTTCACTACATGTTCTGTTGACCGGTTCATGGTGTGAATGCCTATATTTCTGTAGGTTTCAGCTAGCATTTAGCTGTTTTTATGCTAATTTCATGTATGTCAGCTAATTACACATTTTTGGCAAGCATTCAAATGTTTCAGCTTAATTCAGCAAAAACATGCTCTCCCGACTTCCTTCTAGTAATTTAAACTTCTCCCTGCTTGTTTTAGCTACTATTTAGCTGTTTTTGGTTTATTACAGCTTTTCTCAGATAATTTCAACCGTTTTGTGCCTAGTTCTGCCTTAGTGGGCACATTTAAGCTCGCTCCACTTTGTTATGGAAATTTATGCTTCTTTCTAAATTTCTTTAGCTACTATGTTTCATAGAAAAACTAGGATAACTGCCATTTTTAGAGCTATTCAGATG